TAACAGCCTCGACTTATTATTCAATCAATCCTATACACTAAATTCTAATAATTTATACAATAAGCATTATGTTTTCGTGTTCTTCCATATTTGAGATTTCTAGGCATAATCTTTTCGTTATTCTCTTGATTTTTTATATACGTTCAATTCCTACCATTCACGATGACATATATTTTCTTTCAACTCCAACTTCATATCCGATAATAAAAAGTCCACAAATTTCTTCTAAGATATGAAAAAAATACACAATAGTAAACTAGGAGGACTTGATAAAAAAGCACATATTAACTCATTATCGGTAATGTCATAATCAACAAATACCATAAAGATTACTATGAAATAATGAATTAACTATTTTAGAAACCTCAACTTATATAAAAACATGAACAGATTTATCAAAATAAAATAAAATAAAATTCATCCAACTAACGAATCGGATTGATATTTTAAATATAATTATAAAAATTAATGATAAAGCGAAACTCATTCGCCAAGGGCCGAGTAAAAGCTAGTAGTTTGATAGAGTTAATTAGTTTACTAGCATTGAACCCGGCCGTTGGCCGGTTGACTATCATTTAATTATTTTTTAAAATGAAAGAATTGTTATTTTGTGGCCAAAACCAGCCAAAATAATCACTCTCCAATGGAATACTTGAAATTTATACTAATTAATATATTATTATATTTAAACTATTTTTTATACATTTTTCAAAAGATACTTCTGATATTTCATGTGTCACCCAAGTATAAGTTTATGACATAAACAATTTTAGGTTTATGTGAGATTAACTTGTATGCATTAGGTAATTTGTTAGTTAAAACCTTAATTTCCATAAAGTTTGATGTTTGAGCTCAGGTTCTAATAAGAAATTTCAATGTTTAAACTAACAGTCAATTACAATACTTCAATTATTTATATAATGCATTATACACTTATGAATTTCAGGTGCATATGAAATGTTAACTTTGGCCAATTAATTCTTCAAGTAAAATTTAATATTTTAATATCATCATGACCGTTGATATACAATTGATATAATTTTTATTTTTTAGATCTTAACAAAAATAGTACTAAGTGTATTTTAACCGGCCAAACAAAATACAATGGAATATAATTTTGAAAACAACAATATTTGTAAAACCATATCGTACTAGTGGTTCGACTGGAAAAGCCTCCTATCGAAGGCTAAATCAATATGCAAATTTTAGTTGTACAAAACGGTTGAACCGCCGATAAATCACTACTTAACTTCTAAGCATAAAATATCCTATCACTAATTTTTTCTCATACAACCTCCAATATGATTTTATAATTTATTTTTAGCTAATTAATCCTTCATTTCTAGGAGGGACAGTTGGACAAACGTATTTACACAAAAGAATGGAAAAAAAAAGGCAGTTGCAAGTGGGACAAAAAAAAAACCAGGTAAAGGCCTAAAGGGAAAGAAAAGGATTTTTCATTTTTCTATTGAGAAATGCGTAAAGAAAAAAGAAGAAGGAAGAACCGAGAAATGCGGAGAGGGCTGGGAATTGTGGAAAGGCCTATATGTTAACTGCTATGTCTCAAATCATTCACACAAATCGACAATTGTTTTAACTGATTATTTAATTCTCAAACGGAGCTTGTAAACAAGTACAAGAGTTTGGATTAAGAAGAAGAGAACTCGAATCAAAAATGAAAACAACACAAAGAAGGCCGGAACAGAGAGGAGCCCAGATTAACTTGAGTTCCTGGCTGCAAGCCCCAATTCAAATTATCCAGACACTTAAACCGAACCCAATCCTAGAACTCCCAAAGAACTAAACAGTTCTTACTGAGAAGAGGAAACCGTCGCCTTCTCCATTGATAGGAGTGTTCTTTATATAGAATCACCAGCTCCTTTCCTTAGTCTCTTTCCTCTTCAATGCCTTTTACCGTTTGTTTGCAGTAATGAGGGGAGAGAGCTGATGCACGAGATACTGCTGCAGAACCCTTGGCAGTTTGAGTTTGATGATGATGAATGGAGGCGAAGACGCGATAAGGGCTCTTGACGAGGTTGGAGAAACGCTGCACATAAGGTGGGCCTTTATGAATGAGTGGGCTTCTTGGTTTCATGGAGAGGGACGAGGAAAGACCCAACAATCTCCCCCTGCGTTCAAGCCTTCATTCCTACAATCATTCAAATCATGCCGTGAAATACCAAGTTCTCCAGACTACCCAGAATTAAGAGAAACTTTTATTTCATATTGCAATTCGATTGAGACACAACAAAGGTAACATGCTTAGACCATTATGGTCTTGAAAGAAGAAGCACACTTAGTAGACCATTATGGTCAAGAACCACACACACTTAAGACACAAAACAATTTAAGACACAAAACATTGCTGACAGCTATTCCTTTTATTTCTCTAAGATATCTTTTCTTAGAAGATTGTATTACCTGACTCCCCCCCCCCCCCATAATTCAGCTTTCTAAGTTTTTGCATTCTGATGAAGGATGTCCTGAGTCTCCCCCTGAGTTCCAGCTTCTTCCTCCATCACATTTTCCTCCTAAGTACCAGCTACTCCTTCCATTAAGTCTCTTTCAAGGTCTTCAGCAAAGAGTTTGATGTCCTTCTCAGATATGGTTTCAGGTGCTAGTTCAGCCTCTTCTTCTTCAAACGAGATGATCAGGTTTTTACACATGGAAGAGGAAGATTCACCGAGTTTCAGTGATTTAGACATTGACTTGGAGAAAGGTTTGATTTTTCTTGCTGCTGGTCCAGAGATCTCTCCCCCTTTCGAAGGCTGAGGGTCAACTCCAATGAACTAGAGAACAGTGAGGGCTGGGATTGATACTGATGATTCCACAGTAGAGTATCCATCTAGGGAAATACCAAGATTGGATAGGAGAAGAGTGATAAAGCCACCATAAGGAAGGCGCCCCCAAGGTGAGCATCAGCACTTCGAACGATCGAGCCAAACAGCAGTTGAGTTGTAACACCCTAACCCGGTCGGGTACTACTTTTACTAAAATGACTTTGATAAATAAAATACTCAAATCTTAAATTGTAGCGGGAAAAACTTTCACAAACAAAATACTGAAAACCCACACTTGTAGTTCAAAGCAAAGCCCTAACATATGGGCAAACTCAATGCTTAAAATCTCAAAGTGATCTCCAGTCTATACTCATAATCATAATCATAAATGTAAATAACTAATAATCTCTAATGTTGCTGCTACTGAAAACCTTGACTAAGCATCCTGCGTGACGCTTATACTGCCCTCCTCTAGCCGGCTGCTCTCGAACTCGCTGCTCACTAACTGCTCCTTTAGCTCCTCTATCTCTTCAAACTAGAGAGTGAGTTTGGGTCAGTCTACACCCTTACGTTTTAATACTTCTAATACTTGAGTACTTTACTAAACACTTAACTTTAACTAGTGGAAGTTGTTTGTACTTCCAATCTTAAAATCTTAACTCTTAAACTTTGAGGGAGTTGAAGTTACTCTCCTCTCTTAAAGTCCAAATCTTGGCTTAAATACTTGACTGACACGGGGATCCCTCACTAGCTAGTCCGGTTGCCCAACTCATACGTATGAAGCCACCCAGGCTTTCCTTAAACTTAAACTTAGTTAGGGGAATTGTAACGATTCATCCCCCTAACATCTTAAACTTATCGTGGTGGCTCTTCACCACGATTCTCAAGAGCATAACTGCTGCTCATCATAAAAGTCTCAAGAGCATAACTGCTGCTCTATCTCAAAATGTCTCAAATGGCAATGGACTGGCGCTAGTGACTAAAAACACTTAAAACTAATTCACCTTCTTGAAGGTGAGTTACTTCTTCAAAAGAACTTGTTTCTTTAACTTAAACTTACTTGTAAGTAAAGCACACAACAACATAAAACTGAAAGCATAAATCACATAAATCATATGACATCATATAAGCATACAAAGGCAAGTACGACACATAGCAGTCAAATCTCAAAAACTTAAATACCGTAAGGCGTAGAATTTACCCCTTTTACACTCACCTTACTTCCGTCGGAACTGGCTCTGATTTTGCTCCAAAGTTTCCATACTCGCTTCCAAATACTACACTCGTATTTGCTTGAATAAATTGGAGCAGCTTGCTTGGTGAATAGAACTAAATGAACAATTTGGCCGTGCTGCATCCGCCGGTAACAAAACGAGCTTGCTTAAGCAAATAGCTCTCGTAGTAGAGAGAAAAAGCAACCCGCTGTCTCAATCGACCAGTCAGCTTTCGTAGCGTGCGTTGCCGCCCGGCTTTTGCCTTAATTTCCCGAGCAAACCACCTCATGCTTGCTTCCCCTCGTAGTCCGTGGCAGCGATGGCAAATACTCATGCGACCAGCTTGCTTGTGACGCCCCGAGATTCAAGCCACCTCATACTTAGCATACTTAGTTGTCCCTGCTTGGTTATGGCCTCTTGCTTGCTTGAATAATGGCCTCCTGCTTTTTTGAATAATGGTCCTGTGGGGGTGATTACGGCGCGGCTTCGCAAGCGGATGAGAGCATCGCCTCCTCCTTGCTTAAGCTAACGCCTCTCGCAGTAGACAGAGTAGATTAATTTCATTGGGGCTACGGGTCAAATTCTCGATAAAAACACATCAAACCCTGGCCGGAGCTAAATTCAGCGGTTGGGACCCCGGCCTAGATAATAGCCGAAATTCAGGGATTAGAACTAGAGGATTGATTACCTCGCTGCAGGAAGCTCGTATATGAAATTTGGGCTCAATCCGGCTTCCGGATACTCCGAAACCCTAATTTGGCTTATCGGGAATTCAAGAAATTCCTGAACCAAAAACTCGTTTTAAAGCTCTAAATCGATAAATTCCTGAACCAAAAACTCGTTTTAAAGCTCTAAATCGATAAATCACAATGTATAGATGAATAAGGCATTACTTACGGGATTTTTGGATCAGTCACAGGAGAGCATCGCCTCCTGCTTGCTTAAGCTAGCACCTCCCGTAGTAGCAACAGTGCGCGCCGCCGAAAGTCTCCTGGCCTCCTGCTTGCTAGCACCTCTCGTAGTGGAGAGAGTACCCGCCGCTTTGATTTATTCCCCCGAAGAGAATCGCCTCCTGCCTGCTTAAGCAAGCAGCTCTCGTAATAGGAGGGAGCCTTCCAAGAGGTTGCTCCTTTCTCCGATGGCGCCGACGCTTTTTCCTTTGCTTCTCGAGCAGAACTGCCACACACACACCACCACACCCCCCCGCGTCGTAGGAGATTGTCCCCAGCCTCCGTAGGGCGGCGCTAGCAACAACGAGGAGAGAGGAGGAAGCAGCTCTCATAGTAGACAGTATCGTTCCGGCCTCGCCTCCTGATAAGTCCCGGCCTCGCTCCTGTTGCGCCGATGGTCTCCTTCTGCCGGGTAGAGTGCCAAGGATACTGAATGACTCGCCCTCGTGTAGGTATCAAAAGAGAAGCAGCAGGGGTTGGTGGCTACAATCTCGAACTACCCTAAGCAAGCAGGTTTCTTAGTAGAAGGGATGTGGTGGACGAGTTGGAGTTGGAGGGGCGGCCGCTTTTGCCAAGTTGCTTGTGGGTGGAGAAGTAAAGGCTGCGAATTGCTATTAGGGCGAGGCAGAGTAAAGGTCTTAGGGTTTAATTAATTTGAGGATATTTTGGGAATCTCACAATTACGTGTGAGTTTAGTCCAAAACTCAGTTAACGTCCATACTTCCTCATGTTATGTCGAAACTCCACCTCGTTTAGATCGAGATTTCACATTTTTAGTCCCTATCGATTTTACGGTGGAATTTGACAAATTTCCCTAAGGGTATAATAGTCATTTTTACTTTTGGGAAGAGCGGGGTGTAATATGAGTATAGTCAATCTTTCTTCCAATGAGGGCATTGGATAGAACCCAGAGGTCTATCTTGGTGACAATGTGAAGTCCATGGTTTCGGGGTAAGAAAAGATGGGTGATGAAATAGTGGAGAGTGCGGAGAGTGGGGTTCAGGTCAGCTGAGGTGATTACTTCATGTGCCCCTACTGGTCGTTGAGTGATCCGAGAATACTCGATCACATGATCAAACTCATAAAATAAAAACTCATCTTCATGATCCAGAGGAAGGGGTCCTCCAGTGGGAAGATTCAGAAGAATGCCAATGGCTTCAGAAGTGAGGGAGATGAAGTATCCATTAACCAGGGTGGTGAGTTTTCTAGTGGTGATCCCCTGCAGTCCAGATTAGCATAGAATGTGCGAACCGGAAGAGGACAAGCAGCCAGGGGAGGGTAGTGAACTAGGAATTCCCAACCCAGGTTTCAGATAAATGGCGTGATATGAATCCCATGAGTTTTGAATTCAAACAAGTCCAGGGTAATGGGATCAGACAGAGGGCGGGAAGCATAGAATTCTTTGAAGCGGTGAAGGTTGAAGTCAATAGGCTCGTTAAATGAACGACCAACATAAGTAACAACAGCACCAAGGATGTTGGAGGATGTGAAAAGCTCAGTCATGATGAGGGAGTGTCAGCAGGGGATAATAAGAGTGAGACGAGAGGGAGAGGGGGCGAAGAAATATAAAGCTAATACAGAATATCAAGAGATGCAACACGGAGCTTAGAAAATCACAATTTCATTGAGAAACAAAACATCACATGCATGAACTAACAATAATGAGAAGAACAGAACAGACATAAATGAAGCCGTCAATGAACTAGTAAGAGTAAATACATAACTAAAGGAAGAACAAAACCTGATTTAGTGACAACCTTGGATGGAGTGAAGGGACTGAAGACCAAGTTCATCACAAAGTCTTATGAATCGTTCTGAAGAGAGTGCTTTAGTGAAGATATCCGCAATTTGGAATTAAGTGGGGATGAAATTTAATTCAATATGACCTGCTTGTATTATATCTCTAATAAAGTGGTGTTTTACTTCAATATGTTTGGTTCTACTGTGATGAACAGGATTTTTAGACATACATATGGCACTAGTGTTATCACAGAAAACATGAATTTTGTCAACCTTGAGACCATAGTCAATTAGTTGGGATTTTAACCACAGAATCTGAGTGCAACAACTCCATGCAGCAACATATTCTGCCTCAGATCCTTGACCATGACAAGGCTACAGATCCTTGTTTTTTACTTGACCATGACACAAGAGATCGACCAAAAAATTGACAATTACCACTGGTACTTTTTCTATCTGAAATGCTCCCAGCAAAATCTGAGTCAGAGTATCCAGTAAGGGAGAAGGAATCAGACCTAGGATACCACAAACCAAGATCACTTGTACCCTTCAAGTATCTAAAAATTCTTTTCACAACTGTTAAGTGACTATCTTTTGGTTGATGTTGAAATCTGGCACATAGACAGACACTGAATTGTATGTCAGGTCTACCGGGTGAAAGGTAAAGCAAAGATCCTATCATGCCTCTATACTTTCTTTCACAGACAGGTTGCCCAGTTAGATCATAGTCTAAGTGAGTATTTGAGGCTATGGGAGTTTTGCAAGGATTGACCTTTAATAAGTCAAATTTGGATAGCATGGATTGAAGATATTTAGTTTGATGAATGAAAATTCCTAAGTTAGATTGGGGAATTTGTAAACCAAGGAAGAAGTGCAATTCCTTAACTTCTGATGTTCCTTCATGAGTAGTTTCTAGAATTGACCATATTTCTTTAGCAGATTCACATTTGTTTACCCTTTCACCCTCATCTTTAGATATAGCAGAAAGCAAAATGTGCATAGCCCTAGAGTCTAGTTGTGCACTTTTTTTTTGTTCATAAGACCAATCCTCCTCGTCGTCTTCTTTCATGTCAATTGGTCCATTTCGCACAATTGCCCACAATTCACAATCGATTCCTCGAAGGAAAAGGCACATTCTTTTTTTTTCATACAGAGTAGTTAGAACCTGAAAACCAGGGAGGGTTTGAACTTGTTGGGAATGAGTTTGAAGACATAGCAAGACAGAGGATCTCCTTCTCGACAACACTTAGTTCTTACGAAAAGGGGGCTCTGATACCAATTGTTAATTACTATGTCTCAAATCATTCACACAAATCGACAATTGTTCTAAATGATTATTTCATTCTCAAACGGAGCTTGTAAACAAGTACTGGAGTTTGAATTAAGAAGAAGAGAACTCAAATCAAAAACGAAAACAACACAAAGAAGGCAGGAACAAAGAGGAGCCCAGATTAACTTGAGTTCCTGGCTGCAAGCCCCAACTCAAGTTATTCAGACACTTAAACCGAACCCAATCCTAGAACTCCCAAAGAACTAACTAGTTCCTACTGAGAAGAGGAAACCGTCACCTTCTCCATTGATAGGAGTGGTCTTTACATAGAATCAGCAGCTCCTTTCCTTCGTCTCTTTCCTCTTCAATGCTTCTTACTGTTTGTTTGCAGTAATGAGGGGAGACAGCTGATGCACGAGATACTGCTGCAGAACCCTTGGCAGTTTGAGTTTGATGATGATGAATGGAGGCGAAGACGCGATAAGGGCTCTTGACGAGGTTGGAGAAACGCTGCACATAAGGTGGGCCTTTATGAATGAGTGGGCTTCTTGGTTTCATGGAGAGGGACGAGGCAAGGCCCAACACTATACATATTATATGGAAGGCATATATCAATTACATCGGAAAACAAAACCTACATATATTTTCAAAAATATCAGCCTTCCAAATATCTTGAATTTGAGCTCTGAACAAGAATAAATGCTTAGTAGTAAATAGTGATGAGAAATCATTTTCGGCCAACACAATGTTATTTTTCTCTCATCTGGATATAATATAAGTAACAAAACAAGAGATAATGGTAGCTTAGAACTTTATTATGTAAACTGATAGTGAACAGATTTTTCATATTATGAATCACACCCAAAAGCGAAGATTCAGCAAAAACAATTAGGAGTGTTGATCTGTTTTTTCTGCATGTTTAAGTAAATCCTAGAGGCATAAGCAAAATTTTCCAGCGGCCGGCGGCGAGGAAGCGCACGAGGCACTTTTAAACTTGTCCTTCAACACGTTCTTGCAAGCAGCAATGCAAGCTGGGAGGGTGCAAGGGTTTAGGTAGATGCTGAATGCTCCTTCCACTACCCTTACTCCTGCTTCATTACTTGTGCCACAAACTAACACCATGCAAACCATCACAACCGCTAGTTTGGAAAAGCAATAGGTTGTTGTTCCCCTTTCCATCTCTCAAAGCTTTACCTCGCTCGTTAGACAAAAGTATCTGCTACTATTTGTCTAGTGTATAGGTGGTGATGGAGCTTTCTTTTTCTTTTGGTGTGGGAAAAAAAGGACGTGGGACGTGGACTATTTATATATTTGTTGAGGAGATCTGGTCGGGATTTAGTGTATGCATGGGTTACCTGAATGGGAGGAGCAGTGCAGAAGTACTATGTTTTCTTAGGTAAGAAATTCAAGTTTTCTTGGGTAAGAAAATCAAGAATTATTAGGTCAGAAAATCAAGAATTTATAGTTAGGATATGAAAATCATTACAAGAAAATTTGTAGGAACTTTTGTTTCCAAAAAACATATATTTAACTCTGTATATCTTTTGTAGAACATATGTTATTTGAATCGGGAGTTTCTATATCTAATTCTCTCTTGAAAATCAAATATCGGTCGTCGTTTGTAGAATTGGAAGCAAATACTTTTGTTTGTAAATTATACAAATCAAAACATTTCTTTTTACTTCACATGTACTTTTAGTGGCAAAAATGTTTGTTTGTGATATTCGTTCTTGAAGCATTATTACTTTCTTGTGATTAAATTTACGGAGACATAAATATTTGCCTCAAATAAGTATATTATGAAACCCCAGTTGAATAGTGCACCTGTCCATTCATCACTTCGTCGTTTCGGGTCAATCCCGAGTGAGTCAATCTCATAATGGTAGGGTAGTGAATCGATTAAGCATGAATAGTACTCAACATCGATCCAAAGAAGAGAACTAGGGGGATTCAACCTAAGAGAGCTCCCAACCTTGTAATAGCTAGGTTAGTTAGTTTAGTTTTCCTAATCACTATTCTAGGTTGGTTATAAGATAACGAACCCTAAACCTGAAGTAAGGTAAGCTTAGATCCCCATGGTGCGATAAATTTTATTGCTTACTTACCCTATGCTACACCCGGTCGTCGTTCATGCTTGGCCGTCGATTGGGAAGTTGCAGTTAGAGCGAGTCAATATCCAATTTCAATATATTTTGAGAAAAAAAATTCATACCACCCATGTCACTCGTTAGTAGGGGTGTTCAAATGGTTACCATGGTAATTACTAAATCAAATAAGCCTAAATTCTATTAACCATGGAATACAATATCATAACCAAACCTTTCAAACTAATACAACAATAAAATTAACCAAACTAAATTTTAATTGGTTTGGTTAATTGGTTAACCAAAATAACCAATATAACATCACATTATCATGAAGTGAGAAATATTTTTGGTTAGTGCATCAATTCGTAATCTATATAATGAATAAAACATAACAATCCATATAATTATAGTTAACTTTTAACGTAAATACATGTAACAAATACAGTTATATTACATTTGACTCTTGAGTGGTTATGCAAAGTATTAAGTATGTGTATATAGGCAAAGGCTAGCGTACGTCAAGCATACGTTGTACGTCTGTGTTCACACTTGGTTTTTGCACTTCAATATATTCCGTTGAATCAGAATAGTCGGTTATTATCTTTTTTAAGACTAAATGAATCTTGTGCTGGGTTAGAGAATTAGGAACTGGGGTTCACCCATTAGAGGTTAGTGTATAGTGTCATGCCCCAAACTCCGGTTAATTCGTGATCTAAATATTAAAACTCGATGTGTGTACAATAGTGTGAAAACAAGCGTACAGCGTACACCTGACGTATGCTAGCCTGAACCGTGTATATAATATATATTAGATATATGGCTAATTAGTTAACTGGTTAATTGGTTTGAATGGTTAGGAGTGTCTGAAACCAAACAAACCACTTAAACCAAACAAGCTAAAATTTTAACCAAACCAATTATCCACATTAACCAAATACTACAGGTTAAAACGGTTACCACGGTAACCACGCCGTTTGAACACCCCTACTCATTAGTGCTCTGATACCACTTGTTATCGCTTACTACCACCTTCGTTTTTAACTTGAACTTTGGAAAAAAATCGCAGGAAAGAACGAGTTTATTGATCTATTATATCTACAAATTTCTGGAGGGGGAGCAATTTCAAGACCAAATATATCATCCTATACCACCATTATATAGGATGGTAACTAGGGACTGCTATACAATAATAAAGGTGGTAAATGACAGTTAGTATATTCATAATATCATGTATATATACAACTATTCTACACCCTACTATCTTCATGACACTATGAAAAACTTGCATACTTTATGGTATAATCTGATGTACTACGAAAAATTATCACATGATATTAACAGATAATAAATGTTATGTTCCACGGACAAAACTTACGTGCAAATAACGTAACTTTCTTCCCACGATAGTAATATATATATATATATATATATATATATATATATATATATATATATATATATATGGGGAGTTCTACGGTACCCAGGGTGAAATTCGGGGTACCGTATAACTTGAGTAAGAAAACGCTATCTAGAACTTGAATTGATTGATCTTTCGGACATGATACTATACTCTAACCCTTAAAGATCAAAATCTAGGTCTTAATTCTCTAAATCTTATACCGCAAGATCAATTTAATTAGAAACAATAATCGACGGTTATGATTCGTCCAAATATAGGCAAAAATTTCAATGCACAATCTTAGGGTTTATAGTTTATGATTTAGATAATTAGAACCTAGGGTTCACTCATTAAGGGTTAGGGTATAGCATCATGCCCAAAAGTCCTGCTAATTCGAGGTCTAGATAGCGTTTTCATACTCAAGGTATGCGGTACCCCGAATTTCACTCGGAGTACGGTAGAAGGCACCATATATATATATATATATATATATATATATATATATATATATATATATATATGAATTATATAGTATAAAATTTAGGGCTAATACCACTACAACACCCGAACTATCAACAAAATGCCACTTTTATCCTATTTTATTCAATATTCCATTTATGTCCTGAACTATTTTTCTGTTATTTTTACCAATGTTGAATGTTAGTAATTAAGAGAAAACCAGTCAGCATTAACGTGACATATGAGATAGAATTTTTGTTATTATTTATTTATTTATTTATTATATAAAATTAATAAAATAAAAACAAAATAAAAACAAAACCAAAAACTCAGATCGACAAAAGGATGATTCCCCATTGCGACCCTGCTTCTCTCACCCTTCATCATCTTCGCCGCAACAGTCGACTCTGACTCCGGTGAAGCTCGTTCACCTGCTTCCGGTCATCCAGCTACCTCGTCCTCTACCTCATGTCGCACAATCACTCTCAATCAAGTAACACCAAATCCCTCTCTCTTGCCGACAGAGAGCCAGCCAGGCAAATGCCCACTCTCTCTGCCTTTCCATCTCCCTCCTCCCTCCATCCCGCTCCTCAATCTCCTTCCAGATTCATCTCCTCCGACGACGCCAGCATTGTGGCCACTTGCCTCGGCGTTGGATCGATTCATTGTCGCCAGCACTCTCAACGCTGACCGAAAATCGATACACCAGAACTCTAGGTTTCCAGATTGTTGGAGTCGAGTCGAGTGTTCATGTGTGTTTGACTCTGCTATATTCCTCTTTCATTCGGCGATTTCATGGAATACAAATCGCCATACAGTCTCTAGTTCCTTCCCAATCGCGCTGACGTCGCTCATCTCTACTCTCGCCGAGCCACCAAAAATTAAGAACAAAGGCATAAGGGGTTGATTGAGAGAGACAAAGTTGGAGGTGGGGTTTTCGGAGGCGGCGGTGGTGGGTGGAGGCCGACAAAAAATTTTGTTGAGAGAGGGAGAGTATCGAGATGGGAATACGAAGGAATAAAGTGAAGGGGCGACAGAGGCGAGATGCACACGAGATCTACAGGAACCCAAATCTGGAATGGCTACTAGCTGAAGTGGGCAGCTATCAAGTTCCCTGATTGGAGGCTGATGATAGGGCAAAATCGTATATGCCAAATTCATATCTCGTAGTAAACCATAAGTCTGGGTATCGTCTCTCAGGGACTGGTACAACCTTAATTTCTATCAATTCTATGGAGCAAACTATAAGTGAAAATGGTTTGGTTGATGAAATTATTATCTAATAGCAAAATAATTTAACAAATCAAGCAAATTAAAATGGTCGGGAGAAATTCAATGGAGAAAGATCGGGGAGAAACACCGGGACTCGCTACCTATCATATCCAAATTAATTCACATATTCCAATCAATTTAATCCAACTCTCTACAGTCTGGATATCACGAATGTGCTAGCTATCCCAGTCGGGAATTACTACGTACTAAATAATTAAATTAAATCCTACTGTCGTAGCTCAATGAGTTAATTATTTAGCCTGAAGAATGATATCCCAATCAAGACCACATAGTACCTTATTTAATCCACTGTCGCTTCGATAAGTTACTATGTCACATGAAACAGGTTCAGTTATTAGGGTTTCACTGTCACTAATAACCTAATCAACTACAAATCGATGTATTGGTGGCCAGTCAACACAAAGCATTAAGCAATTTCATGCAATAGAGATTGGAAGAAAAGAAATACGAATCAATCCATCAAGTTAAGAAATAGCTACATCCTATGGTGTTTCCCCCAGAAATTAGGGTTTAGTTCATGACGAAAATAAAACAAACAATCATGTTCATAATCATCAAGTTACGAATCAAAGCAAAAGGAAAAGATACTGAACTATCGGATGTTGTTTGATTCTATTTTCCTCTCGCTCCAATCGCTGATCGTCGCTCTCGAATCGCCCTGCCCTGCGCTCCGCACTCCTCTCGCTATCCGCGCTGCTACCTCCTCTTCTTCAAATTTCCGTCCGAACAAGCTGCTGTTTTTTTTTTTTTTTGCCTTCTGCTTCTCCTGCTTCGAAAGTTCCAGTGCTGCCATTTTATCTATCTTTTTACCTAAACACACACAAAAAATCCAACACAAAATGGTAATGACTTTTCAACCATTTCGAATTAATTCTCCCTAAAATAGCACAAATCGGCTTAAACATACCATGAGATAGTCACATAAAGTTCAAGAATCCGATATATTAAAGCCGATTATCAGCTGACCTCGAGCTGGGTATTGAATCTAGTAGAAGCATGTGAGAACAGAGTTGGGGTGGAGCGGCGATGTGATCGTGATCGGATTCGAGAGATGTTTGGAGTTGGTAATCGCCGGAGAGAGCAGAGCTGGGGCGGAGCGGCGACATTTTTTAATAATTATTTATTTTCCTTATTTTAATTATAATTTGATTTTGAACTATAATAACATGTCAATCCATGTGGATGCCATGTCACCAAAAGTCAACAAAATTTTGACCGTCGTCAGGTCAACCGTTAGATTTAACGGTCAACAAAATCGTCAGGATACAAACGACATAAATTATCATAGTTCAGGACAGAAATGAAATATTGGAAAGAATAGGACACAAGTGACATTTTGTTCATAGTTCGGGTGTTGTAGTGGTATTAGCCCTAAAATTTATTACAAAACGATACAAGAAGTTGTGATCGATAGTACCAAGTAGCATTTTTATTGAAAAAATCTACAACCTGTGCGTGCGTCGCAGATTGATAATACCAAAGCCCAAATAGTCCTTGATTTTCTTATTCGTTGCAAATCAACCCATGGCCATGGAGGAACACCAAAAGAAAAAAGAAAAAAAGAAGAAGATGAACTAATTAGCACGCACGAGGCATATTAAGCCAAAACAATGGCCAAGGCAACTGAAGCTGCCGCAGCAGCAGCAACAAAACCGCCGGCTGCTACACTATATGCAGCAGCGTTGGTGTTGGGGTCGGAGACAGGAGTGGTGGAACCGGAACCCGGCGCTGCAGCAGCAACACCTTCCACGTCAACGACGAGCTTCTGCTGGGAATCGGCACAGTGGGCGGCGACTCCGCTAATGAACCAACGTTTGCCGACGGTGTCCAGGCCCACCTTGTCGTTCCCGCTGTCCAGAATGTCGCCCAACGGAACGCAGGCCTGGAAGTCCGGCCCGCTTCTTACTTGGATCACGCTGTCGTGCGATTTGTTGTAGTTGAACACTAATCAAAATCCAACCATGGACAAAAATTAAGTTCGTGAAATTAAGACAACCAAGTACCATTACTACTGGTAATTAATTTAATTCTACGGACCCAAAAATTCAAATTATACTACGTACCTAGGATGTCTCCGACGTAGAACTCTCTGTCCCCAGCCCATTTCTTGAAGTCGACACTGACGTTCCACCCTTGAGTGTCGCCGACGATATGTTGGGCGGCCATGGCAACGGCGGGTATAATCATGATCACTGTTGCCAAAGCGGCAAGCGTGGTAGACCGATTAGCCGCCGCCATTGGAGGGTGTATATAAATATACCGGCGGATTTTGTTTGCAGTAAGTAACTTGATTTTGCGGAGGAATGCACTTGTTGGTTTTATTTATATAGCCCTTACCTTGTTCGGGATTAACAAGGGGTGGCAGTTCGGCTAGCCGAATAACCGGTGGCAATTAACCGCGACTAACCGAGCTAACCGAAGTCCACCTAATTATTGTCAAGCGACACCATTTCTAGCCCAATTTCCACAATCTCCCCCACAAAAATCGAAACCTAACCGGCTAACCCTAACATCACTTTCCTCGTCCATCGAACTCCGCCTCTCCTCCACCTTCCAAAACCCTTCGTTCCCTAATTTCGCCGCCGTCTCCCGTTCACGACCCCGCCACTTCGCCCGTCCACTCCTTCCGATAGCCCCACCACTCCGCCCTTCCTCTCCTTCACTCGCCCCCGCGACCACAGATCTCCAATCCGCCGCTCCTCGGCTCCTGCTCGCCCCCTTCCTCTTCTTTTCCTTGCCGCACCCCCAAAAACAAAAACCCAGGTGACCATGTCTTCTTCCATACTAATCTGACGGTAGGGGTGGGCATTCGGTCGGTTCGGTTTCGATCGAACCGAAATTATGAATACCGGATCCCCGAATTCTCCCAAACCTCAAACCAAATTCGAACCGAATTATAATTCGGTTCGGTCGGTTTAAACAGAATTATAATTCGGTTCGGTTCGGTTTTTCACACAAAAACGAATTTGTGAAGCTACTTGTATTTTCTCACTTTTAAATTATTTTTCACCCCTAATATAAATAATAAATATCAATTATATGCATCATCAATGATAAAACCAAACTTTTCAACACATAAGTCTTAAAACATTTCAAATATTTAAGTCTAAAAACAACTACAAACATAAAAATCCATCATTTGGAGCTTGCAATTATAGTATTTCGGTTTTTCGGTTGGAAATTCGGAAATTCGGTTCGGTTGAAAGAACCCTGATTTCCTAACTATCCATATTTTCCTTCCGAATTTCGAACCAAATAGCATTAATTCGATTTTGGTTCAGTTTAATTCGGTTTCGGTTCGCTTTGGTTCGGGTTTACCGAACCGTTTGCCCACCCCTATCTGACGACGATTGTTGGTGGGAAGAAGTCAGATCACTTTGATCTAGTCTGGAGATGCAGCCATGCAGGGACGGCGGCGAAGAAGGTGGGATTATGGATTCTTGATCTAGGGATTGATGGGTGCAGCGGGAGGATTTGTGACCAATGGCGGGAAGATAGGTCGGAGGAGATGAAGAGCCGTCGCTGTCCTTCCTCTTCACGAGTCACCGCCGCCATCCTTCCTCCTTCTCCTCCTTCTTGGTAGCGGCGGCAGGATTGGGAGGGACGAGGAGATGAGAAGAGATGAGGAGAGATGAAGAGTCAGAGTCGTACTCTACTACTCTTTCTCCCTTTTTGTTTTTAAATTTTCCCCCTTTATTTCGGGTAGTTGATTAACCGAGGTTTTAACCGAAATTCGGTCGATTGGTCGGCCGCTAATCGTGACATGATGGGCGGTCGGTGGTTGTCAACGTCGTCCCTGTTTAATCGATAATCAAGAAATCGATTTTCGATTAAACCAAAACCGACCTACTGACAGCCCTAGGATTAACGTAGGGAAATTGACCTTAACTTATATATTCCATTCGTATATCGTAGAAAAGACGAAGAGAGGGAATGGCTACAATTTCAAGGAATTTGTCATTGCTTATTGTGGAAGTTGAATGGCATAACCGTAGCCAATTCTCTTGTGTCGATAACAATTGAAACCCAATACAGCTAGCTGTGTATATGGGGAGGTTGAAAATGTGATTAGCTGTGAGGTAATGTCATATATATGTTGATGTTGGTGACAGCAACTTGTGAATTGTGATCCGCATATTCAATCGCCGATGTTCTCTAAGCTCACTAATTTAATTCTATCAATGTTGCACTTGTTTTTTTCTATACTTATAACGACGGAAGTTTCTTCGAAGCTGAAGTTAATTCGCTTTGGTCATGATAATCTATGGACTATGGTGGTAAACCAACTTTATTCAAAATAGTGGTTTAGTTGGTTCCACCATGGTATATATAAATTTTACTATGAATTGGGTTAAACAATAATAATTTGGGTACAACGGTAAAAGTAATTTTAGGAACAAAATGGGACCATTAGTGTATTCAGTTTTGTTTGATACTTTGATCTAGACCAAATGTTGGTTTGATCCATTTTTTAATATTCAGAAACTTTATGGGGCGAAGACCAAGACACATTATACTTGGTGTTGTTTGGGTTGTTCCAAATATGGATTTGGTATGATACGATCAAAATCGGTCAAATCATTACAAACCCCTATATCTAATACCAATCATATTCCTTAATCTTACTAGGAGTACTAAATGTCATAGATACAAAAAGTAGTTGTGGTAAATGGTTAGTCGGTTATCAATTTTAACCAATAACCTTATAATTACTGACGGTTAGTGGCGAACTGATAATCAGTAATTAGTGGTTTGATTTTGACTAGGTATGTTTTGCTTAATGGTTAATCGATAAGAAAATCGATAACCGCCTACTAGTACAAAAGAATAAATTTGGGCTTCGGCTAAGGGTGAAAGTCCGAAGATTCAAAACCAACCAAATTGGCAATTCCAAACATTCCCATTCACCCTATTGCAAGCAAGTAGTCTTTATTTATTCTCCTAGAGCCAGAATCCAAAAGTCACCCCTCTCTAACTCCACTACAAAAAAGAGGAGGTTTAGAGACGACGAAAGTCGTCCCCTGAAATGAGAAAAATAGTCTCATAGTTGTTGGGGACGACTTAGTCGTCCCCAATGTGTGGCTTCCTACACTCTTGTACAATAATATAAATGTACAATTTTAGTTTGTATCATAATATAAATGTACAATTTTGGTTTGTACCATAAATGGATTTTACAAAATAGTATAGGTACAACCCAAAGTTGTACCATAACGTTAAAGGATTTTTTTTCCAGATCTACGACTGTTTAAAAAAAATTAAAAAATACCACCCAACCCGGAAAAATTACAAAACTACCACCATTCTTTGAAAACAGCCACATGGGGAGGCGGTTTAGTGGCTGACCTAGAACAAACCGTCTGTTGAAGGAGCTGTTTTTCGAAAATATAAGCCATTTTTGCTAGTAGCCGAACAGAGATTCGATGGTTTTTGAAGGAAAAACCAAAGAAATGTTTTTTATGGCAGTTCAGATTTAGCCGCAACCAACATATCACTATTTACTAGGTTTTTGGGTGGAGAGGGGGATGGATAAGGAGATAATCTTAGAGAGAGAGAGAGAGGAGAATGAGTTTTGGTGTGAAGCAAGGAGGGGAGAGGGGGTTTATGTAAGATTCGGACTGTCTTATGGGGGCGGTTTTGTAAATTTGCAAACACAAAAACCGCCTCCTCCAGCCACGGTTTGCGTTTTTTCATGTCAGAAATTGCCCCCTCCGCCTGCGATTCTCGATCCTTGACACAGATCGCTTACATGACGCACGGTCCGCCCTTGGATCGCTTTCTAATCCAACAGTTCTGCGGACCGCGGCTTCCTTAGACGGTTTGTTGGCTGCCCTAGCCTTGACCGCATCTTCCCCACGTGTTTCTTCAGTAAACCGCGTCTTCAGTGTGTGGTTTTAAGAAAATGGTGTTAGTTTTGAAAAATTTTCGAAAACAATGGTATTTTTGTAGTTTTTTTTAATGATGGTAAATCTAGAAAAAATCCAACGTTAAAAGTACAACTTCAAATTGTATAAAAGCAAAAATTAAAAAATCAGTACTTTAAAGTATTGTAAAATTCCTATATGTACCCAAAAATTTTAATAGCCAATTCCAAAATTCTAGACACATGTACAAAAAGGATGGGTTAAACTTTAAGAGAATCGTATATGTCAAAGTCCCCTCCGTCGTCTGTCCTTCATCTTGTTCTCCAGACCACCATCCATCTCCTCCCTTCCAAAACAAGGTCTCCTCTCCAATCCAAAGACAACTTAGTGAACCCAATTTTACGAACTGGTGCACCACGACAAGATGACACACAGAGCACGAATGTTGTTTTCACGAGGGGAGGCTGTTGGAGCTGTAAACCCTAAGGACAAAGGGCCACAAACAAGGTCGATGGCAAATTGCGGATAGAACGAAATTTTGTTCGAGCAAAAATAATAAGGTAAATACAATTTAATACCAAAACCTTTTATTTTAAACAATATAATAACCAAACCTTTTCGAAAACAATTTAATATCCAAATCGTCAATTTTCTGTCTGTTTGACCGTTAGTTGACACTTCAAAAAAGTTCGAAGTACGACACTTCATCAATATCCATCGATATCTTCTCTAAAAAACCACCAACATATCGTAGTTCCAAACCCGAAAAGTCCATGACTCCACCATGATGATATAAAATATCTAAATATTCAGTCATCTGCAATGCCAAAACAAGAAAACAAAGTTAGTATTGTGACAATTTCTCTTAAACAAAGCTTTCTTGAAGTGTCAACTAACGGTCAAACGAACGAAAAGTTGACGATTTGGATATTAGATTGTTTTCGAAAAAGTTTGGCTATTATATTGTTTAAAATAAAAGGTTTGGATATTAAATTGTATTTACCCAAAATAATACTTTCAACCATGTAAATATCCTCTTACTAAACGAGGCTTCCATATTTGATATTTCTTTCTCTTCAGGCTGGAAATTTGAAGTGGGGAATTTTTTCCCTAATTTGACTTCAATAATAGGTGTAGATAGAAGAGACAAATTATTATTATGTATAAAGTTACTAATTCAAAAGTGAGCAAGTGACCTCTCTGCATAACCAGCAATGTGGGAGCGATTTTAAAAAGTGACCTCTCTGCCGAGGTTTCACAAGATGGTACAGCGTTGGAGCCCCAGAGCCGAGAATAGCCTTCCCCCAGTCGGCCACAAGCGATGCAACAGGCCAGGTCTTGGTCCCTCCACTGCATCTTCCAGCAATGGCTCTTCCTCGATCTCGTCATCCTTGTGCTGTTCTTTGGATGTGCTCTCCTCCTCTTTCTCATTTGCTTCATCTTCTGGCCCAACCTCTGCTATCTCTCCGGGCTTCTTATCAAAGAGCCCTCCGAATTGTTTCCGTGCTCTCCGCTCAACTTCCTGTTAATCACATTACGAATTTCAGGATCAAGGAATTCCCCGCTTCTTTCGATCTTTTCTTTCTGATCACCACACATACCTGCTTTGTTTGCTTTAGTTTCTGAAGAGCAGCTTTTGAATCAGGCTCGGACGACTTGTCAGCTTTTGCCATCTGATAGTTGCGAAATTGATTTGAGGAAATCGAAGTTTGAGAATTTAGAAATCTTGGACAAGAGATGGTAAGTAGAGTAGTAAATGGTTACCATTTCAAAGTCGTTCTTTGCTTCATCAAAATCGCCAGCTTCCATGTATGCCATTCCGCGGCGGTATAGAGCCTTTGCATGTGCAGGACTTGCATCCAGAACCTGTTTCACTCCAACCTCAGGAATCTGGAACTTTGGCCCGACTACGACTGAAACATGTTTCTTCAAATGGAAACCTTACCTTGTTGCATGCCTCGATGGATTTTCTGCATTCCTTCATTTTCAGGTAGCAAGCGGCCACATTAAGGTGTAACAAATTCTAGAATTGGAAAGGAAATGATGTTAGCATGAATGGTTGAAAATAAAGTTGCAAGCAGTTCTCTCTGGGTTACAACGGCAGAGGAAAGACTTACCCGCGTGTTCAGGAAAACCTTCCCTTCCTCGTCATCTTGTGGATTGACATGGTTAAACTCCCTCAGTACCTGTTCAAAAGGGCTACATTCTATAAGTGAAAGAACAAAAAAATAAAAGTGTAACAATAAGGTTAAAAACCATACCTTCTCGTACTTGGCTTTGGCTAGTTCGAACTTTCCTTCTTTGAACAACCTGTTTCCCTGGAAAAAAAAAGTAACAGTTAATATGATATTTTATACGTCCGCATGAGTTTATCCCTGATCTGCTCTTGATATCACATGTAAAGGAATAATACGAGCCACTATGAACAGTCATCTACTCGAAAACTTACGGTGCTTCTGATCTTTCCAGCATCATCCATTATACTCTGAAAATCCATGCCAGCCCAGTCCTGCAAATCGAACACAAATTTTTATGAGTGGAAGGGGAAAAACTATATATAAACCTCAAAGCTGCATTGACAAATGAATTAATATTTAATAGACATCCTCAACCTGGATTCTGGGAGGTAATGATCCCAATTTAACAGCAATAACTAATAACAGACATAGAGAGACCACAAAAGCACAAGGAGATAAGAAACCAGATCGTCACCTTTGGCATTTCAAAACCAAGAAGCTCAATTTCCCATTGGACATGAGCACCTTCAGGAACATTGACTGGCCTAACCACACGTACAGAAGGTTCATAAGTAGTTCAATTAACTAGAAAACTACAAGTCTACAAGAAGAAGAAAAACATAAGATATAAAGTTACAATTGAATAAACAAAAGTGTGTGGGCTCTTGTTTCAGTAAGCATTAGAATCTAAAGAAACCTTGGAAATCTGTCATATGCATAATCAGGAGGACATGTTACCAAAGCCAACTCTCCTGGAAGCATCAGGCGGACAGACATTTCAAATCCTTCAGGAACCTGCAGCAACAGGTAGCAAAGCGAAGGATGTGGAAATCAGAATGGAACATCCAAGAATATAAGTTTGCAGATGAGCAGGATCCATATTGTCAAAACAGCTAATAAGTCCTCAATCACAATGTGTCAGCTGTGGCAGAGATGTTTAGATATGTTCACGCTATTAGATATGTCATTTACACTAGACTGAGAACTTACTAGTCCTTCGCCAGAACTGAACTCCAAAGGCTGCCCATCATTATCAACTCTTGTATCGTAGAAGACAGTCTTTTCATCATTTAGAAGCATGGCCTTGTAGTGGACCCGCAGAAGACTGTCATGAAGAGGGCAATCCATGGGAAACTCACCTAATGTACCACACAACCGAGAGATGCATTGTGAAATTACAAAAACTGGAAATTGTAAAACCATAGAGAAATGCTAGTTAAAATCCAAAGCCGAAGGAGAAACACATAAAAAAAGCATATGCGCTCAATTGAGAGCTTGTAACAAATTCGATGCATACCCTTCCCATCACGAAGTCTGCGTTTTATTAGACGCCCATCTCCAAGCATGTCTCTCACCTGTCCAGCCAGAGTGAAACTAAACTTAACAGCTAGCTTCAATAAGCAAACTGAACTTTTTTCAAGCTTCAGAATGTATGAAAAGATACATTTGCGATACAAATTCAACAATATTCAAATGGCAACTAAGCAAGTTCCTGCTTATCTATTACGAGTATTGCAACATGTGCAGATAACCTGAACCTAACTAATGCCATGCATGAGCCATTTAAATGGGAATACATCAAGCAATTAGCAGCACCTTTGACCTTCATCAGGGATCAACCCCACTGGCCAACCAATTAGGATAAAGCAACAAGTCATGAGGTTGTGCCAAAAGAATACAGTTGACTGTACTTAAATATAGGCATGAGGAACTTGGTTCCTCAGTATGCAAATAAGCTAAGAAAGATGGACGAGCAAATTATTAAGCGTCATGACAAAAATTGCAAGAACAAAATTGCACTAAATTACTATGCCTCAACCTTAGAGGAGATCAAGACAAAAGAAAGCTCAGATTAACCTGAGTGAACAGAGAGATAAAAGAAATCATTTGCAAAAACAGATAAATGATGCAGACCTGAACGAAATGAACAAGCTCCACTTCAAATTGAACTTCATCCAAACCTTCTATTGTAGATAGGAGGGGTGACTGAGTTAAGTATTGGCCAGTAACATATATTATAGCCTTTTCTTCCCGTGCCATTGTTCCCATTCCCATCTCAAGACCTTTAGGCACCTAGCATAGTTGTTACAAGATCAAGCTGTTTCCCAAAGTCCAATGAAGTATAAAATCATCGACTAAAGAAATGAAAATTCAATTATGTTGAAAAGCTGATTTCAGTGATATCTATTTAAAGAGGGGGGATAGTGAGGAGAATAGAGAACAGTAGATTTTTCTTTGAAATTAAAAATATTGCTAAGGTCCATGAGGTATAAAAGCAAATACAGACAAAACATGTGTATGAATACTACAAACAAACGATGTTGACCAACCTCAGATTTCCCGAAAGTAAAGAAATATGGCTCTCCTTGTTCGTGGGAAAGAATAACTTTCCCGTCAGCAGTTTTAGCTGAAATCCTAGAACAATACATGTTTTGTTAACATTATGGGCATTATTAGGTTCACCAAAAACCTCAAATTGTAGAAAAAGTAACCATGAAGAAGAGTGGAATACCTGGCTTGTACTTCATATGGTTCCCTAGGAGTTTCCCAGCCTTGGCCATCAGCAATCACCTATCATTACAAACAATGGGCAGAGAGAATGTTTTCAGAAAGATGTGTACCAGGAAGATTAATAAGTACAGGACCAACTTGAACAACAGACTAGGATGAACATCTTGCAAAAATTCCCCCATGTGTAGGAAAAGAAGGTGCTTCTGGTGAAAACTGGCAATCAACCTTCCTCTCAGGTTAGAATATTATTCCAGATCAACTCATTCCAAATCAAGCGATGAGTAATTCTAATATTGCTTACCTTCTTTATAACCCCCAAATCTTCATTGACTACCTGAAAAGCAACACACATGTTTTAGGATAGAACTCTAATGAATTGGAGGAAAACAAGGTGCTTGATAAGAACTTGTACCCTGCCTCTTGACAATGATCATATTAACTAAAACAAAGAAATAACTTTCTGACGCTGAATGTGTATAATTTCAACAACTGTGTCTATGACAACACAAGAATGTATCGAACCTATTTAAACTTTGATAAATCATTTCAACAATATAAAAAAATGTATGCAACACAGCAACTAAACCCTGTGAACCAAGTTTTACAAAATAGATATGAAAAGGAATCCAAAGTTATTACCTTCACTTTTGAGAATTCTATCATTTCAATCTCAAAATGAAGTTCATCTTCCTTTGGAAATCCACTTGGTGGCGAGATTGGACAATCAGCCTCACCATAATGCATTGATGGCTTCATTTTAAACTGAAAAAATAGATTGAACAGCTCAGAAGATGATACACCTAATAATCAACATACCAGCCATGAAGAACAAAGATGGACTTCTGCTTCGTACAAAGCTCTCTAACATCTGGCGTTCTATCAAGGGAACAGCAAGAAAGGGGAACAAGAAAAAATATGTTGTTTTTGGAAACCAAATAATTTCACCCGATCCTCGGGAGTATCGGCCTTCGTAAACGCAAATGCAGAAGAAGCATAGAAATAAAGTGCAACCGAATATCACATTGCAAACTGCAGAAGTCAATACCATTGCCACTTCACCCTTCAACATTGTGGTAAGTCCCTCAACGACTCCTAATAGCATCTTGCTTTTACCCAAAACATGTCGCAGTGGAATGCCCTTACCTACCATGTAAATGACACGTAGATTAAGCAACATCCAAAATCATGAAAATAATAAAGTTCTAGGTCGAGATCAAAACGCAGGAGTAAACAATCTTGGTGCTGCCTTTAAAATGCTAATGCTAATGCGACAATGATCACAGCGTAGAAGAAAAAGCTTACCCCCATTATCAGATCTAGTAGACTCCACAACTACTCCATCCAACGTTCTAACTGTGCAGTGATATAAGACCTGTAAAGTGAATTATGATGCCAAACCAATATCAACCACGATCAGCGAGCAACTTAAGCAGCCATTTGGAAAACGTAACAAGATACAAAATGGAAGTAACCTGGTCACCATCGGATGGTCTAGCATCGCCACCTCCTGGCCTCATTTCAGCTTTCATTAAGCTTCCAGGTTCAATTTTCTTTCTCCTAATCACCACAAGGTACGAAAACAGCAATCAAATTCCAGTACAACGCAAAGACTGAATTCCTGAACATAGAACTCGAAGCTGAGCTACTCAGACAAAATAAAACAGTAGAGAGAGACCTCTTCTCTAGCTCAGAAGGTTCTTTCTTCTTCGGCTGCGGCACGTACTCCTGCGCCGCCTCTTGTTGGACAGCCATGGCGTAAGACTACAGTAAGCTAAGAGGGTCCTCACGAATTTTGATTTATCTCACTGATCGCAAATACACAAACTGGAAAAGATTGTAGCAGTCAAGCACATGATCAAATCCCTAGTTGAAATTGAAGTCATAAATGAATCCGAGCATTTCTAGCTTCTACCAGCTGTTCCACCACCATTAAGGAGGAGAATTTAGTCATCCTCCGACGGTCCTGAATCAGCTGAAGAACTGGAATTTTGGAATTTTGCCTACCTGGCAGTTGAACGGAAGAGAAGATTGCTCATATATTAGTAAGAAGAACTGCAGGTTGCAGCTAGAGGGGCGGCCGCCCCCAAGGCTTCACTGATTTGTCGTTCAGAGCGTCTGGCGCTTGGGTTGTGCGGAGGCTTTGCGAAGAGCATAGGGGTTTTGAAGACGAAGAGAATTGGCGATTAGCGGCTGGTGGGGCGGGCGGATCTGCGAGGGAGAAGAACGAAAGAGAAGAGAGAAGAGTGTTTGGGTCAATATTGTTGTGAACTTGTAATGATCGGGACTTATTTGTCACATTTCTTTTTTTATATATAAATAGATGCAAAAGCATCCTATCTTCTGTCAAAATCAGTGGGGATTTGGAAATCCCAAGAGTATTCATACAAGAGCACAACCTCAAAGCAAGATTAGTAATAGGTACAAAATGAAAGTTAACAGGTAAATGATGACATCGAGAGACAAGAAAGTCTGCACTCTTGTTCCTCTCTCTATAAACATGGTAAACTGCAACTTCCCAATCTCTCTTAAGAAGGAGCCGAAGCCAGTCTACTACCGCGGTATGTAGATGGTCGGGATTGTCTGCACCCTGGATAAGATGGACAACACATCTCCAATCGAGCTCCATGCGGACACATGTATATCACATGTCTCACACCAGTTGAAGTCCTTCAACAGCACCTCTCAACTCGGCTGGGGTGATCGAACACGCACTCAGGTTGAAAGCGAACGCTGCAAAGCAGAATCCAAGATTATCTCTGATCAAGCCCCCTGCAGCAGCAAGGCCTGTATTCTGTAGGACTGAGCCGTCAGAGTTGAGAGTGACTCACTCGGGAGGAGGAGGCGTCCAGGAGATCTCCTCCTCCGTTCTGGTGGGCGGATCAAGCATTTTCTTGTCCTTGTCCAATACATTTCTCACGACAGTTAACCAAGCATGGACGAGCTAGAGAAAGTCTTCAACTGTAATGACTTTGTTCGCAAAAACTATGTCATTTTTGGTCCTCCACATGGACCAGCAAATGAGGCCAAAAAGTAGGTTGAACTACTCTTGCTTGAGGTAATGCAAGAGCCAATCATGTAGATGGGATCCAAAAAAATAGTTGGTATTCAGAAAGCACCGTTAATGTTGACCGGCGTAGACTGTTAGTATTTATCAGAAATCTAGTCATCATCTATGTGATTTGTGCCAGATTTGTCATATTGGATAGTTTAAAACACAAATGACACTTTTTAAATAATAAAATTTGTCATATTTTTTACGTTTGTTTTTATACTTTAAACCACGACAAAACTGGTACTCAATCCTTAAACGAGATTGTTGTTATAGATCACAAGTACGTGTGATGCATTTTTTGGAATCTTAACTAAAAATATTCTAGAACATTGATAGGAAGAGAGGATTTCCGCTTGTGATCTCCTAAAAATTGAGGGCATGCAACTGAAGTTGCACATTGAATATGTTGATTACAACATTAAGTGAGACACAATTTGGAAGATACGGATGGGTAAGAATAAAAAGTTCCACCAATTGTTCTGATTTCGACGAGGTAAAGTCTGCTGGGTTGAAAATGATAATTCAACTTTGCAAGCAGTTTACCATTAATTTAATCTTTAAATGAAGTACATGAGAAGAAGAAAGAGCCTACAAATGGTGGAGAGAGTGGAGCCCGGTAATGTAAATGCTGACGTTATTTAAAAGATGGAAGAGATTGTCAACAGTGAAGGTAATAGGCATACATGCCCCTCAACTATGAAAAAGTAACAAATGAGCCCCTGTACTATGCTTCTAATGAAAAAAGCCCTTGTACAATAGTTCGATAACAAATAAGCCCTTCCGTTAAGATTCTTTGTTAACTAACTCCAATTTGCACTCGAAATGTCCAAAATACCCCTGTTCTGTTTATAATATATGTTTAATAAAGCAATCCTTTGAGTTTTAGTCAAACACCCCGTAAATGAGATTGAATTGAATAATAAAGCCACTTTTTGTACCCAATTATCACTCCCCCAGCCCGTACAAGTGGTAGCAAATAATCCCTTGCCTTCCTCTGCAGATATGAACCAGACGGCGTAGCTGGTTAAGTTTCCAAGCATTGAAGGGTAATGTTAGATTAACGCAAAGAAGAGGCGGGCAGACAGGCGTTGATTCCGTCGGTGTGGCTGCTGAAGATTCCAAACTCTGGCTGGGAAATAGGCTCGCTGAAGCTCTTCATTCAGCCTTTGCCCAGATCGACAAATTGGCAAAATCGATGGAGTTCGACCAAGTTTCAACATCATCGGAACAAAACTGTGGGTTAGTCACTTTCTCTATTGTCATTTGCGGGAATATAAGGTTTGTTGTTTGGTTGGATTGGAGTTTGTTCTGGCAAATAACAGGTCAACCAAGAACCCTAATATTGTCGTTATCAGGTAATTGATGATGAATTGGTTTTGTAGGCGAATTGCGTTTGTGCTTTCTTTTTTTTTTTTTTTTGAACAGTTGCTTTCTTATATTGATGGGGATAACTGGGGTTGTGAATAATGATTCACCAGATCCAGCAGTTGAATGGGATGAAGCAAATTCTGATTCGGACGATAGTGACACTTCGAGATTGGGTCTTGGGCAAGTGGGAAGATGCTGATTACTGTGATAATGCTCAAGCTATTGGCATTGAAGAAGTTGGGTTTAGTTCTGATGACTATGGCCTATGGGAGTTATGATGAAACTGATGCAGAAGATGAGGTTGCAGACCATGGCGTTAGGAGAAAAAATGTCTATCCCAATACAACCCAAACACAGCAACCCCATTCTTCCAGTTGTGTATGACGTTTCCAGACATAAAGGAAGGTAGAGGTGCTATTCGAGATCATGCTGTGAAGGAAATATATTCTGCTTTTGTGGAACACAAGATAGGAGGAGCTGATGTATAGATCTAGTATATGGAGTTTGATTATATATATATATATATATAAAAGGGGCAAAAAAAAAATTTTGTTTTGATATTAGAGGGGCATTTTAGACATTTCGAGTGCAAATTAGGGTTAGTTAACGGAGAATGTTAACAAAAGGGCTTATTTGTTATTGAACTATAATACAAGGGCTTCTTTTGTTAGAAGCATAGTACAGGGGCTCATTTGTTAACTTTCCATAGTTGAGGGGCTTGTATGCCTATTAATCCTTAAATGAAGTACATGAGAAGAAGAAAGAGCCTACAAATGGTGGAGAGAGTGGAGCCCGGTAATGTAAATGCTGACGTTATTTAAAAGATGGAAGAGATTGTCAACAGTGAAGGTAATAGAGTCGGTAACGTAGATAATTACAATATTGAGGAAAAAAAAATGTTGAAGGGTTATATGGTGAAGTAGGTCATGGAAGCAATAACAAAAGAACAAAAAATTAACTTTGTTGTAATTTTTTGGGGTGAGAAGTAAATTGATGTTTGATTTGCTTATGTGTTAGGAGTTGGTTCTCTTAAATAGATTTGGTTTCTTACTTTTAATTGTAATTTTCGTTGATGAATTGATTAGGACGGTGAAAAATATAATTTATGTTCATTTTCAAAAAATTTCAGAAATTAAATAATTTGTATTCTTTTATGGTATCAAATAAAAACATATTTTTCTTTGTGTAATAGTTAATGTTATTTAATGTATTCGGACAACGGACGGGTCCAAATCTAGTGGTAGTAACGTAGATTCCCAACAACTCAAACGTAAAATCTAATATAAATTAGTAAGCATTTTTGTTCGAATATTGTTTGGAGAGGTGGGAACCGAATAACAATCATCTTGATTTCAGAAGTCATTGGTGCATCGATCAAATCATCACTGCGAAGGTTTCCACCGCGAAACACCGGGTACAAAAATAGTAATAAAAATAAAGTCTCTGTATAATTAGTGATGGCAATTTCAACCCGTCCTGCGGGTATTACCCGACCTGATACGCGATGGGGCAGGTATTATCCGACCCGCGATGGGGCGGGTATTATCCAACCCGCTGTAGCATGGGGCGAGGCATGGGTATCTACTTACAACCCGCCATGCCCCACCCTGCCCCGTTCTTGGTCCATTTTATCTCAATTGCTTACCATATCTATTCATATTTCTCATATTTTGACTTTTCTTCAACTAGTTAGACTCAATTACTCATTCTATCATCATTGTTTTTCATTCATAAAATGTTTTTCCCTTCATTTTGTCAGGGAAACAACGGATTGAAGGCGTGGTTTTGATCACTCTCCTTAGAGTGTTTATTTGCCCCCACTACTTCGTTGCTGGTAGGATTTAGGCAAACCACCCCCAGGAGTCCCTCCAATCAAAGTCAGAAAGCAGCACCTTTCGTGACTTCTGTGTTTGTGTTTTTGGAGAAGGAAAAAACGAGGAGAAGAAGATGAACGTTGGACCACAAGTTCGGCTGCAGTAGACTTTTTATAGTGAAAACGGCAGTTTCCTTCCGAAGGGTTACATCGTTTCACAAAAGTCAAAATCAAATAATTATCCGGATTAATTAATTAAAATAATTTCGGTAATTAATTAGCCAAAAATTCAAATCCGAACGCGTCAGTGCGATTTAATATGTCAAATTAAATAGCCCACACTTTTTCCATAAGCCCACTAACCACTTTATCCAATAACTAAATTGGAAAGCAAACTTAAAAACAACTTGCACTTTCCTTCTCCCACCAATGTGATATTTCCTTTACTCTTTGACTACTCTAACAATTTATGATAAAAGTAAATTTTTGTGTATAATTTTTTCAAATAACATATAAAAGTGCGGGACTTTTCCAAAAGTAGCACTGTTTAATTTTTTTTTCCAAAAATAGCACACAACTCCCAAAAATTTTAAAAATAGCACCCTTTCTGCAAAATCGCCACCCGTACCAGCGGTTTAGGCGAAAACCGCCACACAGGAGCGCGTTTTTCGATGTAAACCGCACTGGTAGGGAGCGTTTTTGCAGACCGCACCCCCACCATGCGGTCTGATTTTTTTTTTTTTTGAAAAATCCTAACCTAGATGGAAACTTTAAACGAACGTATCTTTGTGTTCGGGTATCCGATCGTCGCGATTTTTTTTTTTGATTCCGCATAACTTTTTGAGATCTTGCAAGTCAAAGACTGTCGAAGATGGTTTGGTCCCGCCTTCGTCCGAAAAATGTCGTTTGCTACCCCGAACGAGCTTTTTTCCGATTTCGTCAAACTTTGGACAACCATAACTTTGTGCTCCAAAATCCAAACGACATGAATTTTTTTATATTTCGCATAACTTTTTAAGGACTACAATTTTTACTAGGAATGAATTTTTACTACAATTTTTTTTATTTCGCATAACTTGGTCTCCATACTCTTCCGACCCAATCGCAGTCCCTCGTGATATGTTCTTGCTTCTCTACTAGCCCACAAAATGGGCATTCATCGTGTGCCTCTGGTATCCTCCTGCTTAGATTTGCACCCGTGGGGAGAATATTACTACCCCATCTCCATACAAACACTCGTACCTTAGGAGGTAGTTTCAGCATCCAGAGTTGTTTCCAATCGATGGGGACATAGGGCTCTACCTGGCTGTTCAAAAATCGTCTTCTCCATTCTTTATAGCCCGAGCGCACAGAGTACCTCCCAGATTTCTCCTTTCCCCAAACTCGAACATCTGGTCTTGATCTGAAAGGAAGTGGTATTTGTTTGATCCGATCTCGGTCCACTGGTTGGAAATTTGCTTGCAAAAGATTGCTTTTCCACGACCGATTCTCATGATCAATCAATTTCGACACCCTTTCCATCATTCCCAAACCGTTCACCTGTGTTTGAATTTTGTAGTCCTCAGCTGTTGGGATCCATCTATCCCACCAAATTCGTACACTTTCCCCATCTCCTATCCTCCATCTCGTGCCCTCCCTTACCCAACTTTGAGCTTGCATTAAGCTTCTCCATATGTAACTTGGGTTTGTACCCATCTCAGCCTCTAGTATGTCACTATGGGGATAATATTTTGCCTTTAAGACCCGAGCTACTAGGGTGTTAGGATTTTGTAAGAGATTCCAGACCTGTCTTCCCAGGAGGGCTATATTGAAACCATGGAGGTTTCTAAATTCCATTCCTCCCTCATATTTAGGTCGACACAGCTTTTCCCAACTCATCCAGTGTATCCTTTTCTCCTCCCTTTTCTTTCCCCACCAGAAGCTGGCAATCATACTCTGTATTTCCTGAATCACTCCCTGAGGGATTAGGAAAACTGACATAGCATATAGTGTTTGAGCTTGGGCCACAGCTTTAATGAGTACTTCTTTAGCAGCATTAGATATGAGTTTTCCTTTCCAATGTTTGATCTTGTTTTGACTATTCTAGTCTTCGCTGCAAGTGGAGAACGAGATTATTCCATGAAGTTGGTGACTAAACAACGCAGCAAATTGAGTGATGATTTTCTTGTCGATAGTTTTATTATTTATATTGAATGCTGTCAAGGGACGAGCTACCGTAATAATTCGAGCATTATTTGAGCTCATCTATTTTAGTAGTTTATTAATTATTAAGTGTCTAGTTATTAATTGAGATATTATTGTCATTGTTTCCTAGTCTTAGTAGGATTGTTATTGTTTTTTGGTATTTGTTTAGGAGTTGGTTCTGATATCCTTGTAGGAGAAGGTTACATACTATGGGTAGGAATATGGGACCGAAACGATAAGGTAGAAAGAGAGGATTTTGTGCCTATAATTATGTAATCTCTCATTCGTTTAATAGTATGAAGAAGATTGGATCCCAAATCTAGTTTATTGTCTTTCATTTATCGCAATTTACCGCATTTTATCGTAGTTTATTAGTTTTATCGCAAGGAGGTTACGAGTCAAAATTTCTTCAATTATGTGTCTCGTAACAAATGCGATATAGCGAACCCTTTTAGTTTAGACGTTATTTTAAGTGATTTTATGGACAAAAATATCATGTCCATTTTAGATAATAAATTATATTTTATATTATTATTTTCTTTAAAAAAATTATTTTGGACCCACGAACTTGAAATTCTGGCTTCACCCCTGTGTATAAGAGAAGACAACTACATGACATGCCTCGGTGGCTCGTCACACACATCACTAGTAATAAAAGTATAAAAGTACAAATTAAAAATCCCGACACCGCAAATTTTGTAGCTTATTCATTATTTGCCTAATAATGGCAATTTCTTGTGCTACTCTTCTTTCTTTTGTTTCTTTCAAAACCACAAGCAAATTTTAACGCAAACGATCGATCTTCCCGCCAGCCGCAATGACATCCAAACGACTTGTGGATGGTTTAACTGATCAGCAGCACATTATTTGAGCTTTACTTGACATTGACAACGAGCTTCTGACCATCCATGCAGTGATCCCCTACGCCACAGATAAACCAACTTGTTCCACTCTTTAATGTAATGGTGTCCCCTCCAGAAGTGTACTTCTTTGTGGCCGATGCGAAGTCGCAGCTCTCAAACTGCTTTTGGTTCACCTTGTATACATTGTGTACGCCCTTCAGGTACTTGAAAACTGTAATTAAGACTCGTGACAGTTAATGTGACTATGTGAGGTAATTATATAAAAAAAAAATTCAAATTCATTTCAATAGCTATCTCAAAGGGTCGAGAAAAGTAAAAGAATAAATCATGCCTTCAAAGTTATAATACTCAATTGTGACTGATCATCGAATGAATCTTTCCTAATATTAACCAATCTCTATCGGGATAGAGAAATTACGATCAAAAAATTGATTTAATAGTTGGTATGACTCACAAAGCTTGTCGCCGGCGTGAAATTTCCTGCCCTGTGCCCAACCCTGGTAATCGAAGCCTTTCGTCCAGCCCTTGTTTCCACCAACGGTTATCTTCTTGGCGAGAACGGCCGATGGAGTGATCGCAACAGCAGCAACAGCAATCACCAAAGCCCAGAAAATAACCTTGTGAGGTACGGAGTGGGAATGGAAAGCCATTGCTATGATATTTTCTACTTTGCTGAACTATTAATGCTTCTGCGCTTTTGTTTTGTTGGATACAAGACACAATCTGTCTTCATAGCCAATTTATAGGTGTTGATTTGGATTGATTATGGAGTCCATTGTCGTACGGCGGTAGCTGAGGTGATGATCACTAGTGTAGCTTTTTTGTTTTGTTTTGTTTTGTGGAAAAACTCAACGTTTCTTCAGAGATAATATATTTGTGAGCGGTTCTTACAATGCTACAAGTTTCTGTTTAAAGTTCACTTGCGAGCTTTATTGGTTCGACGTGTAGGAAATGGTGACCAGCATGTGGAAGGTGTTAATTATACTGGCGTGTTTTGAAGAATTCGATAACAAGGAAGAAAAAAAAACACGAAAAAGAGTTTTACGTGATATCCTTGTTCGACGTGAACATGACTAAATCATGGTGAGTTCTGAAGAGCTCACGACTGATCTTTTATTAGGTTTACATTGTAACGGCTTGCTTACGACAGGTTCGTAGCTAAGTCTTATATTGAGATAGACTAGGGTTAAAACCCTAATGAGAAGAGTCGAGTACGGCCAAACATATGTACCTACTACAACTCGGACAAGGCCCAACAAGGCCCAATACTAACACGGTTTAAGTAACCGCAACACTCCCCCTAAAACGAAGACATGAATGGCAAGAATGTCGAGCTTAAAGAAAGAAATATGAAGAACAAGCATGATGACTTGAAAAACATAACTCTCTTACATACTTTCCATTCGCAACTACTTGAAAAGTGTGTATCCTCAAACAACGATCCCTAAACAAGAAAACTCTAGGGGTCGTTTGGATGAGGGTTTTCTAAAACATGGGATTTTGTCCACAATCCTACGGTTTAAAAACCTAAGTTTTTAGTATGAGGAATTTTAATAAATCACTTGTTTGGATGTGAATATAGGATTTTAATAAGAAAAATTAAATTACAATCATACCCTCATCTTCTACCTATCTCCTTCCCCCCTCCTCTAATCCGTTAACCTAGACCTCTCAAATGCTGGTATCTCCTTCAAATTTGACATCCATTCCATCGTGTATCATGTACCCATTACCCGTAAGACCCTACCCTACCCTTTTCCTCTTCTCACCAATGACTGCAGCAGCTTGCTTCAAGGATTCCTCTTCGCATCGGGTGGAGAGGGAGAAGAAGAAGACAATGGCGGCAACTTATTTCACGAAGCCTAGAAGCATCGTCAGACGCTCAACCCAGAAACCTCTTAATAGACCTCCTTCACGTAGAAATTGTCGTCAATCGGGAGGAGAGGGAGAAGAAGACGGCGGCGGTGACTTGCTTCCGATGGAGAACCATGCCAAAACGTCGACTGGAAAGAGTGGATCTGGTCGCCGAGATCTAAGCCTCCTCTTGATGACAGTCCCGCCGGGATCTTCATCCTCGACGACTATCTCTCCTTCCTCGTCTCTCCCCCTTCTTCACATCCGGAGAAATCTAAAAACTATCCGGAGAAGCTACGCCGACAATCGGTTCAGCAGCTGGTGACGAGTTCGCAGGAGGGTAGGTTTTGGAAAAAATAAAACAAGAATGAGAGATTTGGAAATAGCTGATCCCCATTAGCTATTTTAAAAACCCACATTTGAGGGTTTTTAAAATCTCTAATTGCAAAAACCCTAATCTTTCCCAAACGCAGAATTGTTTTAAAATCTTGCAAAATGAGGGATTGTTTTAAAATCTCTCACAAATCCCTCAATACAATCCCTTATCCAAACGACCCCTAGAATGATTAGGGTTTCCTCTTTCACGAAACCCCACAGCTAGCAGCCCTAGCTAACTAGGGAAACTCTCTCACACAACCTCGCAACGGAGAAGGCTGTTGCCAGGCTTAACACTCTCATCTAAATCGTAGTTGTAGCTTTGATCAAAACTGACTAGCTTTCCCTCTCGATCAATGGCTTCCTCTCTCAAACTCTATGAAACCCTACCAAACCCCTAAACGGTGGCTATCGAGGCTCTCGCTAAACGAGAAAAAAATATATAAAAAATATCGTATTGTTACGGGGAGAAGTTGTTAGAACTAATAAAAAGCAAAAATTGTCAGCGTAACTCAAAATTTTCTCATTCTCTTGAACTAGCTTATAACCCGGCCCGTTGGCCGGAATGTTCATATTTGATTATTTGTATTTTTATGTTACATTTAATTCTATCAACCCGTTTAATTTTTTGACAATTCTTCGATCTAGATGATATATAAAGAAAGAATATATAGGTCGAACTTTTGGAGAAATAAGAATATAAAATATAAAAATTATTGATCTCATTTTTATAATGATAATTAAGCCCCAATTAAAATGCTATTGGTTAGTTTTTTTTTTCAAAAGATAACATATATTAATCCAATCAAAAAGATAATTACATCCTGGAGAGCAGCCAGGCCCTGAAATCAAACAAACGATTCCCATACGGGTACAAAGAGAGGGCTTTTCTAGCTACCGAATGAGCTACCCTATTGTTATCCCGACCTACAAACCGCACACTAAACCCCGAATGGGCATCAAAATATTGACAAATCTCTTCCAGGACTGCCCCCAAGTGATTGTCCCGAGAATCGGCTTGATTAATCTTGTCAATAATGACCTTCGCATCACCCTCGAACCGAACCTCGGACAAACCCCACTCTAAACACCATGTGATAGCCTCACGCAGCACAAGCAGCTCCACCACCATCGGCTCATCAATTCGTGCAAATTGCACACCTTTAGCCCGAAGGACCGACCTTCCCTGACCACAAAGAACCATCCCTCCAGCCGAGTGTGATCCCCTCCTAGTTGCCCCGTCCCACATGCACACCAACCGAGATTCATCCACTTGGGTCCCGTGCTGGACCCCCTGGCACGACCTCCTTGGTTGCCGGTCAACTGGCAGACCCACCCATTCCTCAAATTGCTGGTGAAAATGGCGCATTAAAGCCGAATCCCAAACTGTTTGCCTTCAAAGACAACCCAGTTTCGCGATCGCCAGATCCGCCAGAGGATGGCAACCACTGCCATAAACAGCGACGGATCATGGATCAGGGCAAGCATTCGCTTTAGAAACAGTGGAAACGTGTACCGAGGCAAAGCCTCCCCTAGATAATCCAACCCCGAGTGGACCCAGAGGGCCCGAGCCACCGGGCAGTAAAGAAACAAGTGCTCCATAGCCTCGGGACCCTCCCAACAAACCGGACACCGGGGCAACACAGGAACCTTCTTTTCAATGAGCGCCTCAGTGGTTGGCAGGGCCCGATTCAAAATTTGCCAGACAAAGACTTTAAGCTTTGGCGGGATCTTAGCCTCCCACAGCCGGATCCAGCTTTTCCTATCCATCCAACTCACCGACTCCCGCCACCCACCCCTCCTTCTATCGAGGTCCACTGCCAGATGATAAGCCGTCTTAACTGAGAACACCCCATCAGCTGTGTTATGCCAGATAAGTTTATCATCCACATTCCTTCTCGGAAGAGGGATAGCCTTAATAGCCCGACAGACAGCAGGGTCAAACCATTGACTCAGCTTATTCTCATCCCACCGCCCTTCCCCTTGACAAATGACCTCCGCCACCAAGGGATCCCCCTCATTTGGCAGGATGAGAGGATTATAGCATGGGGGCTCCAGTTGAAGCCTAGGAATCCATTTAGAATGTACAAGGGAGGCCGAGAAACCATTACCTATCTGCCCTCCAGAAGCTGACGCCCAAACAGGATACTCTGCCAACCCCACGAAGGCCTAGACCGGGCAGTCGCAGACAGAAACGAGCCTTGCGGAAAATACTTCCCTTTATACACCTGAGCCAGGAGGGAATGTGGCTCTTGGAGAATACGCCAGGAAATCTTTGCTAAGAGAGCCAGGTTAAAATGTTCAAACATGCGAAAACCTAAACCCCCCTCATGCTTGCTCCGGCAAAGGTTCTGCCAGGACACCCACCTAATCTTGGGGTGGCCCTCTTCAACTCCCCACCAGAAACGGGCCACATGTCTATCCAACAAACGGCACAGGGATAGGGGCAACCGAAACATGACATAACATACAGGGGCAAGGCCAAAGCAACTGACTTGATTAAAGTCTCCTTTGCCGCCCATGATAAAGTTCTCTGTTTCCATCCCTGCAAACGCGCCAAAGTTTCTCTTCCAAATACCTGAATGTCGCCATCTTGGATCGGGCAATCAAAGTGGGTAACCCCAAATATTTATCATGAAACCCTACTGCACCGACCCCAAGAATCACAGCCAAAAACTCCTGATCAGCCAAGGCAACATTTTTGCTAAAGCAGACTGCCGACTTTTCCAGGTTAACCCGCTGCCCACTCAGCTCCTCATACTCATTGAGCACCACAATTAAATTCTCACCCTCCTGAAGAGAACCTCGCAGGAATAGATAGGAATCATCCGCGAAAAATAGATGTGAGATCCTAGGAGCACGCGGTGCCACCTTTACCCCCTCCAACTTCCTTTCAGAGATCGCCTTCCGAAGAAGGGCTGCAAACCCTTCCGTGCAGAGCACGAACAGGAGAGGCGACAACGGATCTCCCTGTCTGAGTCCCCGAGAGGAACCGAAAAAACCCGAAGGCGTACAAGTAGCAGATCTAAGACATTCATGTACCCATCCTTGCCAGACAAAGTTAAAGGCCATCTTTTCCAAAACTGCCAGAAGGAAGGGTCATTCGACTCTATCATAGGCCTTTTCCATGTCAACCTTTAGAGCCATGTACCCCTTCTTCCCCTGCCTTTTTATTTTAAGATAATGCATTAACTCATGCCCAAGAAGGACGTTATCAATGATCTGCCGATCTTTTATAAACGCATTTTGCCCCTCAGACACGATTTGAGGGAGCAATCCCGCCAGCCGCTCAGCCATGATCTTGGTTATAACTTTATAAACGAACTGGCATAGACTGATCGGACGCAGCTGGCGGATATTTTCCACAGCATCTACTTTAGGGATCAACGTAAGCCACGTATGATTAAAACTCCGTAGCATTCGACTAGTCGAAAAGAAAGAACAAACCGCCTCAATCACTGATGCACCCACAACATCCCAGAATGCCTTGAAGAATTTGCCGGTAAAGCCATCCGACCCCGGAGCCTGCTTCGATCCCATAGAAAAGACCGTTATCCGAACCTCCTCCGGCAAAACCACCGCCATTAAAAGCGCATTCATCTGCGAAGTAACCGATTGGGGGATTGGGAGGCTCGCCACCCTATCAGCCATGTTTTGCACCTGGGATTCCGAGGTAAATAGAGTTTGGTAAAAGCTGGTAGCAATCCTAGCCTTCCCGCTCTCTTCCGTAACCCACTCACCCTCATCATCCCGGAGCCCGGCGACAAAATTCCTTTTCCGACGAGCACGCGTAACCGGGTGGAAATAAGCTGAGTTTTGGTCCCCTCGTTTCAGCCATCGGACCCTGGATTTCTGCTGCTAGTACAACTCCTCTGCATCCCATTGACGAGATAGCTCCATCTCCAGGGCTCGTGCCGCATCCCAATCCACAGGATAGATGGACTTGACTCGGTCAACCTCAGCCTGGAGAGTTTTAATATTACGCAAGGAGTTTGTGGTTCCCGCTCTACTCCAATCATACAACAGATGCCTGAGTTTCTTGAGGCGTTCCCAAAGCCAAAACATGGGGGTGCCTTGCAGCTCCTCCTACCAGACATACTGGACCATAGCCCTAACCTCAGGATTCTCTGCCCAACGAGCATCAAACCGGAAAAGAGGCCAGCTATTCCGAGTGTACGGTTTATCAGCGAGAAGAAGGGCACGATGGTCGGACCCCTGATCCTTAAAGTGTTTAACCAAGGTCTCAGGATACATATCTATCCAGGACTGGGAACAAAGGGCCCTATCCAGCCGTTCGCGAATGCACGCCTCCCCCATCTGCTTGTTAGTCCAGGTAAACTGATCCCCTTGGTATCCTGGATCATGGAGTCCTAACTCATGGACAAACTCCCGCAGGCTGGTGGCTTGAGCCGCATTCCAAGCCCGACCCCCATCTTTTTCTCCCTCATGGAGGGTGACGTTAAAATCACCAATGATCACGAATGGTTGGTTCGTATTTGCACACACTTCACGTAAATGAGCCAACTGGCTATCTCGAACAGCCGCATTACAGCTAATGTAAACAAAAAACACCAAATACGAAAAATCACCTTCATTAATTTGCGAACAAATATAGAAATTGGAAAAACAAAACACCGAAGTGTTAACCCCGGGGGCCCAAGCTACAACTAACCCACCCGATGCATCAACAAAAAAACAATGGGAACTCTCAAACCCTAAACCCCGCATCTTAGTTGATTGTCAAGAAAGATAGAGTACAAAAGCTCATTGGAATTCCCACACGCCATAGATAGTTTGAAACACAATTTTAAACCTCACAACCCTACATAAAGGGTTCAATGCTCTCCTTAGGAACAATATGCCACTAATCAAAAAGAAATGGAGAGTGTTGATTCAAGTCAACTATATACTAACAACTCAATTAAGAGGGGACCAATAAAACTTGAGAGCAAACGACAAAATTAGGGTTACCTCCAATATGCTAATAAACTCGATCGAAGTAATAAGGCACAAAATTAGACACTCCGTATCTATCAGTTCCAGTAGGTTGAATAAAGAATCGATCTAGCTGCAAAAACCATAAACCTAAAGGTCCAATAGTCACCACTCTCTGTTGTAGAACCAAATTTTTATCTCAAGAGACATATGTTTCAATAAAAAATTCAATCTCTAATCCTCCTTCTACAACTCCATTTATTGAACTCCATTCTATTTGTCATGGATTAATATCGGAGTTGAAATCTTCTACTTTCCTAGCTTAAATTCCCAATAATAAAATCGTAGTGCCAAGAGATACCAAAAGATTGATTTCAAAGGCGGCCTTGTATTGAAAAGTGAAAGGGGCGTAAACTATTGCACGATAGAGGGAATTTCGGAGGAAGTTAAAAGAGATAAGAACAAAGATAAAAAAGCACTAAATTTAAATTTAAATTGAAAATTTCAAGGATACAACACTGAGTAACAT